CCTTCTGGGGTCTGCTGTGGTCGGAGACAGCGTGGAGCCGGAGGGAGAGATTCTCAGATTTGTGTAAGAGAATTTGCGCTTCTAGAGAGCGCCAGGACTCGGCCTGCTTTATTAGCCGTACTACCCCTGGCACAGAGTAGGTGCTCAGTAAATATTTAACTATTGCATCTGGAAAAGAACCAAGTAGGGCTGCAGGGGAAGGAGGGCAGTCCATTTCTACCCTTCTAGAAGCCGCAGTCTATCCCTCTTTAGAGCAACCTCCCTATTCAGGCACGCGTACATTCATCTACCTTTTGTTGAATCCCTACTATGTGCCAAGCATGCTTGTAAGCGCTGGGGACTGTAGGGGAACAAAACTAACCATTCTCTGAGTTTTTGTGTTGGTAGGGGTAGGGGTTACCTTCTGCAGTGCAGGGGTCCCATCTAGCATAGACCACGCTGCTTTTCCTTCTGTTCCCCATTATCTGTCCTACTGGGCTCAGCTTCTCCTGCAGGGCTTCAGTGGCAGCCTTTGCCCCAAGGGGTGCCACTTGGGCTCCAAGTGCTGCGCACAGACTGATCTTACTACTTTTAACTCCCCAGGACTTCACAGACTTGGGTGCATCCCTTGAGTTCACACATGTGTTTCTTTCTTTTAAAGTGTATTTGTTTTTCCCATGAGAAAGAGAGGGACAGGGACCTCCGATGGGGTCTCACACCATAATCCACCCCGTCTCAGCCTGCCAGTGTCCTTGGCATATGTGTGTAAGAGAGACCTCAGGACACGAACCCAGGACCTTCCCTTTCAGCCTCTGCAGGGCTGAGCACTGCACAGCTGCTGTGTCCTGTCAACTGGCTTCAGTGTATTTCTTGTTCTAGATTTTTCTGTTGATTCTCTGGACGTTCCTCAACAAATTGGCTGCTAGCTGTGTATGCCCAAAACATGTTAGGTTGTGTTCCAGCAACCCCGTGGGTTTCTGGGGACTGTCAGTCCTCTTTATCAACACTGCTGGGTCATCAACTCCAGTGAATTAAAGATTTTGTCTAAAGTGAGAATTCTGCAGATTTTTCATTTCCAGAGTTGGAGTTTGTGTAAATACCACCCTTGCCTCAGTTTGGAGCTCTGTGGTCAGGGGTCACCTCTGGTGCCTCACGGCATGGCAGAGGGCAGGAGAGCTAGTCTGTGTTCCCGTGTTCTCTGGTTTTCTGTTTGTTTTCTGTTATTCTTTCCATTAACTCACCAGAACTCAGCTATGGAAGCCTTGTCCTAATGACCTTAATCCTCTTCCCAGAGGCACTGTCTTTTTTTCTTTTTCTTTTTCAAAGGTTGTGTGTACTTGCCAGAGAGAGAGGAAGAGGGGGGGGGTGGGGTCATGCCACATCCCTTTATGTCTTTATCCCATCAGGATTTGGGGCTTGTATGCTCACAATACCTGGCATGATTGTCAGGCTGCCAGGCCAGGATTTGAGCCTCAGTTTGCCCTTTGGGATCTAGTTCCCTTCACACTTCGCTTAACCCCCGTGCTACGAGGCTAGCTTGGTCCTCACCTTTCCAACATCGTAACTGAATCAAGTTTATGCTCTCTTAATCTCGTTAATGAGCATGAACTTTGGGGGACATATTCAAACTACCCTAAGTGTAGTTTTCCTTTTCTTTCATTGTTTTATTTTGTTTCATGTGCATGTATGTATTATTGAAAGTGTAAGATTCTTTTTCGTTTTCATTTCCTTTTGAATCATGCCATGTTTCTGTAGGATAAAATCCCCAAATAAATTTTCGTTCTTAATCTTTTGAATAGAAGTATGATTAATGTGATTTTTTTTTTGGTTGTTTGTTTAAGGTGTTTGCCCTAGGCCACCTGTGTTCCCTAGAGAGAGACTGTAAGAGGCAAAGTGAGAAGTCACCCCCCAGGGACATGGCCACACCACAGCCCCTTCTCCTTCATTCTCCTCCTGGGATTTTTGGCGTGCACGCATATGCGCCCAAGATGATTTTCAAGCCACTGGTCCAAGATTTGAATCATGGTCGGGCAGCTGGGCATCCAGCACCTTAACCGCTACGTCACCTGGTGGCCCCGTTAATGCCACTGTAAAAGAATAACTTCTTAAAGCATTCGTTCATTCCGCAGGCACATTCTCAGTACCAGTTGTGTATGTCGGGCAGATGTAAGGCTTTACTGGCTGTGGTAGGGAATAAGTGGTGGTCCTTCCTTACGGCGTTCACCTGTCAGGGTGCCGTGGCAGAGGTATCAGAAAGGAAAGTGAAGAGACCAGCAGTTGGCATAATGGCTATGTCGCTGGACTCCCATGCGGTTGACCGCGGTTCAAGGCTCGGACCCAGTCGCTTAAACTCACGCCAGGCACGTGTGCGTGTGTGCCGATGATCCCAAGAGGAGAATGGAGGAGAAGGGATTGCGGTGTGGCCATTCCCCCCCCCCCAGGGGGGTTGATTTCTCACTTTCTATCTCTCTGTCGCTGTCTTTCTGGCGAGCGCATGCATCCCTATAGCAAAAACCTCTCTCCCCCCAAAAAAAAGAAAGAAAGGAAAGTGAAGGTCAGGAACACTTAATTCACTTTGCAACATTTTATAGTGTCACAAAAAATGTCTCATCCGCTCTGGTCTCTCTCTTGACCAGTCTGAGTCTGTTTATGTGTGCGTTTCGCTTTTAAATGTCTGTCTTTACCACTGAACTTTAACCTCCATCAGGACAGGGCCCATGTCTCTTGGTTATTCTTAGCTCCTGGCTTGTTCATGTCAGTATCTGATGAATAAATGAACACTAGCAACTTTGATAACAACTTTCATAATTTTCATAATATCACATAATCCTTGACCTAGAACATTGAGTTCAGTTAGTTCTTTTTTTCTTCATCTTTATGATGGAGCGTGTGCGTGTACTGAGAGATGAGCACGCTCCCCCGGGTCTGGTCACGCTGTGATTCCCCTTCCTCCCCAGATCTTGGGCACTCAAGCACGTCCTCTGCGTGTTTCAGGCTCACTGTGCTGGGAATTCACCCTAACTGGTCACGTGGGATCCGGTACATTACCGCTGTACCATAGAGCCACACCTTTGGCATGGAATGTAATTTTTTCCTCCTTTCTTCCTCTTTTGACAGAATAATTGTGAATATCATTCACAACACTTCAGATTACCATCCCAAAGTTCTAAGGTTTCTGAATGTGGCTTTTGATGGCTCAGGTGATGGCTTAATTGCTGGGGACCATCAAGGAAATATCTATGTGTTTGACTTGTATGGAAACAGGTAAGATATTTTTGATAGATGTCTTCTATAACAAAATTATTAATTCACTGATTATTTTAGTACCTGCTAGTCATTATTCATTCAGATGAATTTAAGTTCTACTGTATTTCAAATACCTTGCAAAACGTTTTCTTAAGTACCATAGGAATAAAGACGTGAAAATGTATAGAATATGTTTCAGATTTTTTGGCGGTTGAATGTGTTGTTTTTTTTTTTGTTTTGAAGAATTTTTTTGCCATAGGACATGTGCACTTACTGGAGAGAGATGGAGACAGTGGGAGGAAATTCCCCCCCCCCGGGGGGGATTTCTCCTAGGATCTTGGGCAGGCATGCACACATGCCCAGTGTCCTTTGCAAGCCAATGGATCCACAGTTGAACCACAGTCAACCATGTGAGAGTCAAGCCTTGTAACTCTTGAGCCATCTGCTGGCCAGATAAGTGCTAGTTTTTTTGTTTTGTTTTGTTTTCTCGGAGAGGTTTTTGTTATAGGGCATGTGAGCCCGCCAGAAAAATAGAGAGAGACAGAGAGACAGAAAGTGAGAAATCACCCCCCAGGGGTATAGCCACGCTGCAATCCCTTCTCCATTCTCCTCTCAGAATCTTAGGCACTCACATGCACGTGTCCTGCGTGAGTTTAAACCACTGGGTCTGGTCTGGGACTGGAACCACAGTCAACTACATGGGAGTCCAGTGACACACCCATTACACTAACTGCTGGTCCCACAAAGTGCTAGCTTTTCAATTATTAGTAATTTAATATATCATGAGAATACTTGGTGATTTTTTTTTTTTGGTACCCTATTTCTTCTAGAAAAGTTGCAGGTTTTTTTCTATTATTTTCTATTTATTTCTCATCCATTTTGAGCAAACAATTCTTTCTCTGAATTGGTACATTAAAAATAACTAGAATGGAAAACAAAAACAAACTAGAATGGGGACCAGCAGTTAGCGTAATGGCTATGTCGCTGGACTCCCATGGAGTCGACTGCAGTTCGCGTCCCGGACCTGGTGGCTTAAACTCACGATGGGCACGTGTGCGCTCAAGAGAGGAGGATGGAGGAGAAGGGATTGCGGCAAGGCCATCCCCCAGAGGGGTGATTTCTCACTTTCTGTCTCTCTGTCTCTCTCTGTCTGTCTGGCGAGCACATGTGCCCTATAGCAAAAACCTCTCAACAACAACAACAACAAAAAAAACTCCCCCCCTCCCTCCCTCCCTCCTTCCCTTCCTTCCTTCCTTCCTTTCTTTCTCTCTTTCTTTTTTAGATTTCTGCCTTAGGGTGCATGTGTTTACTGGAAAGAGACGAAGGGAAAGTGAGAAATCACCCCTAACCTTGGGAAGATGGCATGCCACAATCCTTTCTCTGTTGGTCTCCTCTTGGGATTTTGGGCATGCATGCACTTGTGTCCAAGGTGATTTTTAAGCTGCCAGATCTGGAATTCAAACCAGGTTGGCCATCCAGCACCTTAGCCACCGTGCCATCTACTGGTCCCGAGTTCTTGTTTTCTAATTACTGTTTTCTGCTAAAATGCATCAGGGATCTTTGCACATAGGGCTTACTTCAGAACAGGGGCCGGGAAAATACAGGCTGAACCTGTAACATTCTGTAGGCAGAAAGGAGAAATCGTTTGAAGAATGATGGGACTTTGTCAAATGGACGCAAGTATCAGCTTGAATGAGCTCTCTCTGGCCATACTGGAGATAATCTGGACATCAAAGGACATTATTTTCTTTTTTATAAGGTTTTTGCCATGGGGAGCATATGAGAGAGAGACAGAGAGAGGATGTGAGAAATCACCCCCTCCCCCGTAGAGGGGATACCCGTGCTGCAGTCCCTTCTCCTCTGTTCTCTGCTCAGGATTTTGGGTATGCACGTACATGTGTCTGGTGTGACTGTGAGGCCACCAGGTCCAGGGCTGGAACCGTGGTTGACCATGCGGTAGCCTAGCATCTTAACTACCACACTACATGGTGACGCCTGCCAGCTTTTTAAAACGACTTTCAATTCAATGTGTAAGACCAGACTTTTTGTGTCTTACCCCATAAATTTGTTCCTCTTTTGTCTAAGCTTAAAAACATTTTTTTGGGGGGGAACCAGCAGTTAGTGTAATGGCTATGTCGCTGGACTCCCACGTAGTCGACCACGGTTCGTGTCCCGGACCCGGTGGCTTAAAACTCACGCCGGGCACGTGTGCATGCGTGCCCAAGACCCCGAGAGGAGAGTGGAGGAGAAGGGATTGCGGTGTGACCATCCCTCTGTCGAGCTCACGTGCCCTATAGCAAAAACCTCTCCAAAAAAAAAAAAAAAATTTTTTTTTGTGGATTAAAGTCTAGCTTTGTGCCTAGTATTTTAATAAGAACTCACCATGTGGGATCAGCAGTTAGCATAATGGCTATGTCGCTGGACTCCCACGTAGTCGACCGTGGTTCAAGTCCCGGACCTGATGGCTTAAACTCACGCCGGGCACGTGAGCATGTGTGCCCAAGATCCCGAGAGGAGAATGGAGGAGAAGGGATTGTGGCGTGGCCATCCCCCCTGGGGGTGATTTCTCGCTTTCTATCTCTCTGTCTTTCTGGCGAGCGCACGCGCCCTATAGTGAAACCCTCTCCAAAAAAAAACTCGCCATGTATTATTTTATTTAATTATCACACTGACCTTATTAGATATATATTACCTTTCTTTTACACGCAAGGAATTTCTGATCTTTCGTACTCGACCCTGTGTTTAATACATATTCAGTCTCCTTCCCTAGATTTATGAAATCTCTATTTGTCCTTTCCATTTTGTACCCAGAGCTCTAACTGAGCCTGTCTGTAGTGGCTTTCTTAATTACTCCTTTTCTTCCTTGGCTTTTCATCCATTTGCCATTGCTGCCAGAATTGTCCTTTTTTAGTGAAACAGTTGTTTTTTTGTTTTTTTGTTTTTTTGTTTTTGGGGTTTTTTTTTTTTGCTATAGGGCGAGTGCACTAGCCAGAGCGAGACACAGAAAGCAAGAAATCACCCCCCACCCCCCCAGGGCGATGGCCACACTGCATTCCCTTCTCCATTCTCCTCTTGGAGCCCTGGGCATGCACGTACACACCCCCAGCATGCTCTTAAGCCACTGGATCCCAGACTCAAACCACGGGCATCTGTATGGGAGTCCAGCGACATAACTATTAATTACTCCACCTGCTGGTCCCCAGAATCATGTACTTACTATGCCATCCTGTTCTGTTTGAATAAAATCCAAACTCCACAATACAGAACAAAGCACCCTTCCTAATCTATTTTTGGCCCATCGTGATGGTAGCTTATTTTTCTGGGCTTCAGTTCTTTCTTTTCTAAGGACTCCTCTGTAGAATATACGGTTATTGCAAGAACCCTTGACACTAATGCAGCGATCTCTTCGTAGGTTTAACCTTGTTCAGCGAACAGCTCAAGCTTGCACAGCCCTGGCCTTTAATCTTCACAGGAAGTCTGAATTCCTTGTGGCATTAGCTGATTATTCTATTAAATGTTTCGATACAGGTAAGAAGTCCTCCTCTTTGTCTTTGGAAGGAGAGTAAAATATAGACTGAAATTCTGCAGAGGTTACCAATCTGTACAGTTTGAGGAAGCCATTGCCCAAAGACTGTGCTAACCGCAGATACCACTCATAAGCTTGAGGGTCTTAGGACCGTCTTTACTCCAGATTGGCTGCTGCAAATTGAGGCTTCCGCAGCCACCTTCAGTTAGAAAATTCACTAGAACAACTCACGGAACTCCGGAAAGCACTACGATTGTGCTTACAGCTTACAGTTTTTGTTAAATTTTTGCTGTAGGGTGTGTGTGCTCGCCAGAGAGACAGAAAGCAAGAGATCACCCCCCTCCAGTGGGGGACTGCCACGCCACAATCCCTTCTTCATTCTTCTCAGGACTTCAGGCACGCATGCACACGTGCCCGGCATGAGTATTAAACAATAGGATTCAGGACTTGAACCATGGTTGACTGTATGGGAGTCCAGTGACATAACCACTACACCATCTGCTGGTTCCTGTGTATACAGTTTTATTGTAGCAAAAGGGTACAAGTTAGAACCAAATGGTGGAATCTAGGAGGCTTCCAAAGGGAAACTTCCATTGTCGTCGGGGACAGTAGTCATCTGAGTACAGCAAGTATTGCTGACACAGGAAGTTCCCCAAGCTTTAGTGTCCAGAGTTTTTACTGAGGTTCCATTACATTAGGCACGGCTGATTGGATTATTACTCACATGGTTGACCTCTATTTCCAGCAAGTGTCCCAAAGCCCCAGCCTTCTGATCACGTGGTTCTCTCTGGCACGACCATTCCTCACCCTGACTCTTCTCCTTAGCATAAACTATCTGGTGTGCTCTGCGGGATCTCCTGTGAATAACAGAGACATTCCCATCACTTGGGAAATTCTAGGGTTTTAGAGTTTACTTTCCTGGAGACTGGCCAGAAGCCAGACTTGTCTTTGAAAGCCAAATTTCTTACTGAACAGATACAACAGTAAAACTTTTTCAAATATGTAACTTATTATTTTATACCATATTTAAATTTTTTCCTATTGGGAATGTAGAGTTCAGTAGATTAAAATCATTTTACCTCATTAAAAAGTCAAATAGTGAATTTAAAATCAGTACCTAACATTCACTGTGTAGATGCTAACAGTGCCGTAATTATTTAGTCTCTTACCTGTTGCTGGACTTTTAAAGCGTTCCTCATTTTTGGTCTTACAAACACTGCTGTGACAAAATTTCTAAAACACTTAATTCTTTATACTCACCTGTGAATGTTTCCCTGAGTCCACCATTCTCTTCTCTTTTCTTCTCAGTGGTTCTATCTTTTTAGTTTCTTCCGTCTTACTGAGCCCCTCCTACAAAGCCCTTTTCTTTTATTTTTTAAAAGAATTATTTTTTTTTATTTAACTTTATTTATTTATTCATTTAAATTTGATCAGAGAGGGACAGAGTGAAAGAGAGAGAAAGGGAAAGTGAGAAGGCAAGCTGCCAGATCCGGGACACAAACCATGGTCAGCCATGTGGGAATCTAGCACCCTTAACTACCACGCCACCTGCCAGTTCTGCCAAGCCTTTTTCTTAAATGTTGTCTCTATTCCCCAACTCCCAAATGACCTTGTTTTTTTCCCTTTCCTGACAAACCCTGCTTCCTTATAGCATCTTTTAACAAATTCAGACTTGTGCTTCCTGACAGCTCTTGCTACCAAGACTCCTCTCTCCAAAGTTATTAGTAACCCCTGATTCTTTTTTATTTTCTTTTACACTTTTAATTTATTTATTTCAGATTTTTGCCATAGGAGGTATGTGCTTGCCAGAGAGAGACAGAGAGACGGACCAAGTCAGGAACCGCCCCCTCCCCCCGCAGAAAGGACCAGAAAGGACAGTAGAGCCCTTTCTCCTCTATTCTACTCTAGGGATTTGGGGCATGCGCGCGCGCGCGCACACACACACACACACACACACCCCTGGTGTGGCTACCGGTTCTGGGACTTACACCACAGTTGGCCATGTTAAAGTCCAGTGCTTTACTACTATGCCATCTTATGGCCTTATCCCAGTCTGTTTTTTAAGTTGCTGGCACTCTGCCATCTTATGGCCTTATCCCAGTCTGTTTTGTAAGTTGCTGGCACTCGAACCATGGAGTTGGCCATATGGGATTCAGCACCCAAACTACCATACCCCCAATTCTTTAAATCCTCTTCACACTTTTCAGCCTACTTCTCAGTAGTATTTAACACTTGGGCTTACTTTGAGTCTTCCGTTAGCCTTCATGCTAATAACCGCTCTCTATTCTCCTGTCTTCTCACTGCTTCTTTCAGTCTCCTAGATTTTTCTAGTGATTCCGAGACTTGGATTTTTGAACCAGTTGACAGTTTGTCAACTGTTTTCCCCCTCCTTCTTTATTCGCGAGAGAGCATGTGCGCATGAGAGTGAGAGAGAGAGATGAGTACCCTCTGCAGGGGCTGGTCGCCGCCATCCCTTTCCTCCAGTCCTCTGGGCCATCAGATCTTGAGCACTTGAGCTCATACCTGACATGTTTCAGGCTGACGGACCAGGGATTTGAACCATGATTGCCACGTGGGCTCTGGGTTCTCCTGGCAGTGCATTACCTCTGCACCACAGAGCCGACCTGCTTCTCATGTGTTTCTTACACCAGTTAATGGTATTACCATCCGTTTATGTAACTGAACTAGAAACACGGGAGTCTTAACTCCTCCTTTGTCTCAGTATATCAACCTGATCACTAAGTCCTTGGATATTTTTCCTTAACAGCTCTTGAATTTATTCCTTTTTCCATCGCCACTTTCTTAGTTTAGGCCCTCCTTAACTCCTGCCTGGATTATTATAGCAACAGTCTTCTCCAATATCTTCCCTTCTTTCAATGTATTCACCATATATCCTCAAAGTGTTCTTTCATTTTCTTTAAAAATAATTATTTAATTTTGTTTACTAATGTTATTTTCATTTGTTATAGGCCATGTGCAGAGACAGGGAAAGTGAGCGCCTGCAGGTGGCGTGAAGGTTAAGGTGGCTGGATCCCACATGGCAGAGACAGGGAAAGTGAGAAAACAAGCCGCCAGGTCCAGGACTCAAATGGCGGTCTACCATGTGGGAGTCCAGCACCTTAACCACCATGCCACCTGCTGGCCCCCTTTCAAAAGGAGTGTCCTTTCAAAAGCAGACAAGCTATTGTATCATTCCACATAAAATATTACCCACAAGAGAAGGCCCAAACTCTCTAGCATCGCATTTGAGGCTATCATTGAAGTTTATTCATTTTTGCTCATGATAGCCCATATGAACACATGAGAGAGAGAGAGAGAGAGAGAGAGAGAGCACCCTCAATTTGGGTTCATCACACTGGGATCCTCATTCCCCAGCCCTCCAGCGCATCCCAGCTTGAGTGGCACACACTCAGTGTGTTTTTCAGGCTGCCTGGGGGGATCCAAACCCATGGGCAGCCTCACAGTCTCCAGAACTGTAGTTTAGTTTGCCACTGTCTGTGTTACTAGGCTGGGCCTGAGGCTATTCCTAATCAAACCCTTTGTCACCTCATCTCTTGATAACTTTGTGACATACATGTTACCAATATGTTCCACGGTACACTTATCAACTGGTCGTGGGCTTCCATTTTTGTAGATGGTGATGGAAGATACTCATATAATAACTAGCCATCCAGTGAATCAGTTCATGTGGAGTGTTTACATACGGGGTTATTGATAGATGTATAGGGTTTTGCCTGTGTGACAATGTCCTTTTTACCACAGTCACCAAGGAGCTCGTCAGCTGGATGAGAGGACACGAATCATCCGTCTCTTCGATCTCTGTGCATGCGTCAGGGAGATATGCCATTACTACTTCTTCGGAAACAGCACAGCTGTGGGACCTGGACACCTTTCAGAGAAAAAGAAAGCTGAATATCCGCCAGTCTGTGGGTATACAGAAGGTCAGCGAGGGGCCGTATCTCACCCGTTGTGCTTCTCGGGCTTGTTTCTGGGTCAGCGGGGTTTATAGACCATGTTAAGAGTAAAGATTCACTTTGTCTTCCATAACCGTGTTCATATAAGGCAGCAATAAGCAAAACAAGGTGGCCAACACAAAGATACCCGTGGCTAGGAAACTATAGCTTTGTAACTTCCTGAGCTTTTAAATGTTATAGCTGTGTAACTTCAACTCTCATGAAGTGAGAGTTTGAGAGAAGTTGCTTAGGTTTGTTTTAGTTGTTTTTTTTTTTTTCTTTTTCTTTTTTTTTTTGGAGAGGTTTTTGCTATAGGGCACGTGCGCTCGCCAGAAAGACAGAGAGAGACAGAGAAAGAAAGTGAGAAATCACCCCCCAGGGGGGATGGCCATGCCACAATCCCTTCTCCTCCTTTCTCCTCCCGGGATCTTGGGCACGCACGCACACGCGCCCGGCGTGAGTTTAAGCCGCCGGGTCGGGGACGCTAACTGCGGTCAACTACATGGGAGTCCAGCGACATAGCCATTACACTAACTGCTGGTCCTAAGGTTTGTTTTAGTTTTTAACCCCCAACATTACTTAGGAAAAAATTTAAACATCCAGCACACCTGTAAGAATTTGAAAGTGAAAATATGCACACCCACCATCTAGATCCTCCATTAACGTGTCACTGTACTATGCTTTACTGCATGAAACAATACTGTTATAGGGTGGATCTAGCCATCTCTCTGACTCTGTGTTCGTTAATTCTGTGTGTGTGTGTGTGTGTGTGTGTGTGTGTGTGTGTATTTTGTTTTGTTTTAAGAATTTTTGCGGTAGGGTGCTTGTGCTTGCTGGAGAGAAAAAGTGAGATATCAGCCCCTGGGAGAATGGCCATACTGTAGTACCTTTTCCTTCATTCCCCTCTTGGGATTTTGGGCACACATGCACACACGCTGTTGTGTTTTTTCAAACTGCTGGGTCTAGGACTCAAACTGCAGACTTGACCATGTGGAATGCAGTGCCTTCACCACCACGTAACCTGCTGGCCCCCTGCGTGTACCTATTTTAAAGTAAAGTGCAGGTATCAGTGTACTTCCTCCTAAATACTGAAGCCTGCATCGAATTGACTAGGTCCAATATTTGTCCATGTAAAATTTATATAGAATGAAATGCGTAGGTCTTAAGTGTTCATTTGCTTAGTATGATAAATGTCTACACCTGTACATCCTGCCCGATCATTGCCATCCGCTCAGAAAGTTTCTTATAGCCCTTCCTCAGTAAGCAGTATTCTGATGTGTCTTCACCGTACATTGGTTTGCTTGCTCTAAATTTTCATGCAAGTACGTATATTCAGTAATGGTTTCTATAAGGCTTTTGTTACTCAGCACAATGTTTCTGCGAGTTGCCCATGTTGTATGTATCAGTCATTTATTTGTTCGTTAGTATTGGTGGTTAGTATTCAATGATATAAATATGTATTTTTTAAAAACTATTTCTTTTGTTCTTAAAATTCCAATTTGTCCCTATATGATTTACTAAATATGATTTTCTGAAATATCTGAGTACCCCATGTAATTATTTTGCTTTAGGTTACAGTGTATGTGTAGTACTGCTTTTAATTTCATGGCTATTCATAGGGAGAGGTCTAGCAATGCCTTTCAACCAAAACTTTCTTTTGTTGTGTCCATGGAAACCCGAGTTCTTTAGTGTGCCTTTAATAATTAAGAGAGAAAAGTTGTAGCCAGCTTACTCAATAGGGATTTAGGCCAAATGTCTTAGTAGGTCTTTTCTTCTTTAATTGCCTTAGTACTTAAATTGAATTTTAAACTCCAGAGAAGAGAGCACTGGGAGTTGAAGTCACAATGGAAATAGTTATGAAACAATGACACAAAAACCATCTGTTCTTTTTACCATGAAATTAAAATGAGCATACACTGAATGGTCGCCAGTACTAACCTTGCTTGGACATTCAGGTATTACAGATTTAAAAACAACACTCCAAAGATTAGTGACATAAGAATAAAATTTAATGTAGAAAATGTATGTGTAGTGTGATTTGTGCTCGTAAGTAGAACATTTGTGCATGTTCTAAAGTAGTAGAACACTGACGTTGGTAAATTACCAGCAAGCATTTTCTTTCTTTTCAAAAAAGAATGATTCATTTTTATTTATTTATTTTTTATTATTATTATTAATTTTTAATTTACTATAGAGCTTATGCATTTACCAGAGAGAGACACAGAGAGAAAGTGAGAAAGCAAGTTGTCAGGTCTGGGACCTGAACCGTGGTTGGCCATGTGGGAGTCTAGTACCACAACTACCATGCTGCCTGTTGGCCCAGCAAGCATTTTCTTAAAGAGACCAAATAATAAATATTTTTGGTTTTGCAGGCCATGAGCAAAATTATATAACTATTTGAAGAGGTTGGACCATCCTTAGTTCTTGCGCTATACAAAAATGGGAGGTGGGCTAGATGGTTACCACTCCTGGCTTATACTACTGAAAATAAGAAATAACCTGTTATAAGTAACCTAATCTTTTTATTTTATTTTATTTATCATAATTATTATTTTTAAAAATTTGACCAGAGAGAGAGACAGAGAAAGACAAAAAGGGAAGTGAGAAAGCAAGCTGCCAGGTCTGGGACTCGGCATTGGTCGGACATGTGGGAGTAGGGCCTTAACCAACGTGCCACCTGATGGCTCAAGTAACCTAATCTCAAAAGTCAAACATTTGTGTTTGTTTTGTTAGAGATTTTTTTTTTTTTTTGCTATAGGGCAAGTGCACACAGCAGACAGACAGAGACAGAGAGACAGAAAGTGGGAAATCACCCCCTAAGAAGGATGGCCATGCTGCAGTCCCCCCTCCTTCATTCTTCTCTTGGGATCTTGTGCATGCACACGGGCCCGGAATGCAAGCCACTGGGTCCAGGACTCAAACCACGACTGACCATGCGATGTAACCATTACGCCATCTGCTGGTCTCGAACTTTTTTTTTTTTGAGAGGTTTTTGCTTTAGGGCGTGTGCGCTTGCCAGACAGACAGAGACACAGAGACAGAAAGAGAGAAATCACCCCCCAGGGGGGATGGTCATGCCGCAGTCCCTTCTCCTCCATTCTCCTCTCGGGATCTTGGGCACGCACACACACGCGCCCAGTGTGAGTTCTAAGCCACCGGGTCTGGGACGCAAACCGCGGTCGACTACGTGGGAATCCAGCGACATAGCCATTACGCTAACTGCTGGTTCCCCCGAACATTTTTTTTAAAAGATAGGGTCTTGCTCTGTTGTGATCCTCTGAGCAAAGACAGGAACCTCCAGAACAGCTGGGGTTACAGGCATGTGCTGCCATGCCCAGCTTTTAGGATGGGCGAGGAATCAAACCCAGGCCTCCCACATGGCCTCAGCCTGCCAAGCAGCAGCATCTACCAGCACGTGCTACCTGCTGAACAGCTTTATCAGTGTATGCCAAACATTCATTCATTTATGCATGCCATAGGGCGCATGTGCTTCCTGGAGACAGAGAGAGAGTTAGAAAGCACCTCCGGGGGATGACCATGCCACAGTTCCTTTTCTTCTACGCTCCTGGGCATGTACGCCTGTGCACCCTGCATGTTTTTCAAGCCAAAGCATCCAGGACCCAAACCATGTAGTCGGCCATGCGGGATCTAACTGCCTTAATAACCACCATGCTACCTTACTTCCCCAAAAACCTAAATTTAAAAAAAATAATAAATTCACAGTAGAGAATGTGTATGTGCATGAGAGAGGAAAAGAAATAGAGAAAGACAGTGAAGTACCCTTAACAGGGTCTGGTCAGACACCATCCACTCACTCTAGGATCCTGGGCATGCCTGCTGCCCTGTTCCCCAAGCCCCAATGCATTTTAGGTTGACATGGCCAAGGATCTGAACCAGAGTCAGCCACGTGGCTTCCAGCACTACAGTCCCGTCCACTGCGCACTATGTCATCAGGCTGGGCCTAAAACTTTCATCAAAATTTTACTGAACTTATATTTTTATTCTAGTTTTTTATTCTATATTTTAAATAAAACTTCTGTTTATTTTGATGCCACAAGAAACATTGAAGTAACTCTCTGTGTCTGCTATGACGCTCCTTTTACGATGGCTCTTTTAGTGTAAAACAGACTTCTCTTTTTTTTTTCTCAAGACATTAATTTTTGGGAGAGATCAGGCCAGTTATCTTGGGAACTGCCCCACATTTAAGATTTGTCTTACTGTTTCATCATCGTTATTTAACTTGTTTTTTTCTTTTTTTTTTCCTCCCTGCATTTCTTGTAAAGTAGACATTAAGTCTAAAAGACTTGAATAGATTCATGTTAAACATTTTGGACAAGGTATTTATTACTTTATGTGTGAGATGAAAATAACTCAGGGACTGATGTCAGCATCAGATGTGACAATCTATGCAAAGCCCTTAGCCTGGTGTTGGCTGTGTAGTAAGTGTTTAGTAAAATTGCAACTGCTGCTTTTTTTGTTTTGTTAAGTTTTTTTTTTTTTTTCCTCATGAAAAGACAGACAGGCACCTAGTATAGTATTCACACTGCAACTCACTCCCACCACCCCCGGCTTCAGCCAGCCTGGATCATGGATGGGCATGCGTATGCACGCCCACTGTGTACAGAGAGGACTTGGGACACGAACCTGGGACCAAAAAGGCAGCACTCCAGAGAGATAGGGGTAACTCTTTAATAGGCTGGCAGGTGTGGAGGAGTTAGCAGGCAGCATCTTCAGCCCCGCTTGGGTGTTGAGCATAGTCTTTTATCAGGAAGTTGGGGAGGGGTAGTTTCCAGTGGGCTAAGGGTAGCCTATCAGGAAGAAGCAGCCCATTAGGAAGATGCAGCCCAGAGTTTGTTCTCAGAAGAAAAGGTCAGATAAGCCCATGTTCGGCTTCTCAAGGTCTCAGATTGTTTTATCACTTCAGAGGGCGAGAGGCAGAGGCAGGGAATTCACAGAGGCACAGAGGCCTGAATGGCAGTGGTCAGCCTTGGGCTATTGTGAGTTCCAGGCCCATCCACATCATTAATTAAGCTCTGTTATGGGATTATCTCACTACAATTAGATAAATTCTTTAAAAGCTGTAAGGCAGCCTGGCCCCCGGTGACAGTGGTTAAACCCTGTGCATAGGGAGTTAGTTAGATGGCTAACCACAGTTGGAATCCCAACCCTGGTGTCTTGAAAAACATGTCAGGTATGTGTGCATACATACCCCAAATCCTGATGCAGTGGAGGAAAAGGATTATGACATGACCATGTTCAGTCGTGGGGGTGCTTGCTCTCCCTCTTTCTCTCTGGCAAGTGCATGCACTCTCTGGGAATTGAAAAAAAAAAAAAAGCTGTAAGGTAACTATATTCTTTTTCTTTTGAACTATATTATATAAGTACACATCCCCTCATTTACAATTCAAAAACCCAAAAGCATTTGAATAACTCAGTGGCAAAATACAATCTGCCCTGAATTTACTTGACAGCAAAATCTGAACTGAATTGACATAAGGCTGAAACATCACTACTTGAGTATGAGGTGTCGCTCTGGGTCCCTGGGGTTCTACTGTGATGTTACAGAATACGTGTTATGTTCTCTCTCTGAAGTCAGAAATCATTCTGCATTCTGAAACACATCTAGTTCCAAGGGTTTCGGATAAAGAAAGAGTGATGGATCTTTGATTTTAACATGTTAGTGTTTTGTTTTTTGTTGATGTTTTGGGCATTAATTTATTGATGAACATTTATTTTTCTTAGAGAGGAGGGAGGGAGAAAGAAGGGGAAAGGTAGATAGACAGAGAGCGATATTTTTGAGATTCTTACTGTGTCATGATCTCTTCCTACCTCAGCCTTTCAATTCCCTGGGGTAACAGGCATGCATGATGGTGCCCAGTGATTTGAGGTTGGCCCAGAAACTGAACTCTGGCCTCCCATTTGACCTCCAGCCTTTCAAGTGGAGGCACTGCCTGTGCCACTGTGGCTGGGCCTGATCGCAAAGGATTTTGTTTTTAGAGAGAGAGTTTTGCTATAGGGTGAGTGCATTCCTTGGAGAGACAGAGAGACAAAAATTAGGAAGTCACCCGCAAGGAGGGATGGCCACACTGCAGTCCCTACTCCTCCATTCTCCTTTCAGGATATTGGGCATGCACGCACATATGCCCAGTGTGAGGTTCAAGCCGCCAGGTCCGGTTCCATGGTCGACCATGTGGGAGTCCAGTGACGTAACCATTACACCATCTGCTGGTCTCTATCCTGAAGTTCTTGTACTTTGGAAAGAGCTCATACACCTCTTAAAACTGAATTGAAAAAATTGGGATTTTAACGTTGTGTTGGGTTGCCGGAAAAGCCATGACTCACTTTTGCATAGAGAAAATGTGTCACAATTTTTCAGACAACCAAATACAATTGAAAAACTGCAACCCTGGGGGCCCAGCAGTTGGCGTAATGGCTATGTCCCTAGAGTCCCATGTAGTCAACTGTGGTTCGAGCCCCGGACTCAGTGGCTTAAACTCACGCCGGGCATGTGTGCATGCGTGCCCAAGATCCCGAGAAGAGAATGGAGGAAAAGGGATTGCGGCGTGACCGTCCCCGCTGGGGGGTAATTTCTCGCTTTCTGTCTCTCCTCTGTCTTTCTGGTGAGCGCACGCGCCCTTATAGTAAAAACCTCTCCAAAAAAGAAAAGCTGCAGCCCCATCTTTGAGCCAACTCCCCAAAGTACATTTGGTTAGTATTTTTAAAGTTTTTCCTGAGTTCTTGTGTATTTGTTAAGAAGTGACACTATATCTAAATAATAATGACATGGTTCATTAGGAACAATTTTATAATCATTAAAATCTGCCAATTAAAATCACAAATCTAGTAATGAATAATCATACAGGCAATAATCTATCACAGCTATTCCCCTAAAAATAGCAGTTGATGCTCATTAACTTTTAAGCTTTTGCTTCTCCCCATAGGAATAAACTTATTACTTTTCTAGAAAAGTGACTGCTAATTAAAAGAAGAATTTTCTAAGTCACTTGTGACATCGGTTTTATAACACTTTTAATGCATTCATTACAGATCGTAATGTATTCCATGTAAATTCCTTCCTATAAGGCTTTCATATTATAAACCTTCCTAACAGTGAAGCTGTTAGCCAGAGGTGAACCAGCTACTGTCCTTGGCAAAGTGAGCAAGGTCAGAACTGAGCAATGGGTTGGTCCCTTTTCTGATCTATCATCATTTGATGTAGTGAATTAGCATTTAGTATCATGTCTTACTGACATTAATCTTGAGCAGATTGTTTAATTAACCAGTATGTCCACAGTCCATTATATCTTGGGTCGTTGGAAAAGTCATGACACATTCATTTTGCATAGAAAAACAGAACAAGTACGACATGACTTTTTCGACAACCCGGTGTGTGTGTGTTGTCCCGATGACAGACACACACAAAACTAGATTTCAGGCCATCAAAGCTTTTATGAAAAAATGTTAGTCAATCCCAATTAAGATTTTTGTATTATCAAAAGAAAGCAATTGTTGGGTGCTTTTATGTAATAGAAAAATGGAAATTAGAATAAAATGGTGACATTTTTAAAAAAGAATTATTTTATTCATTGTCATTATTATTATTGTTTTTCATTTGACCACAGAAAGAGAGAACGAGAGAAAGAGAGAGAGAAAATGATAAAGGAAACTGCCAGGTCTGGGATTCAAACCATAGTTGGCCATGTGGGTGTCTAGCGCTCTAACCACCATGCCACGTGCTGGCCCCAAATGATGACATTTTGAACCTTGCTGTCAATTTCATTCTCAGTTGTCCATTAAATAAGTTGAATCTCTACTAAAATTTAAATATATATATACATTTTCAGTTTTTTATACTTGTAAATAATGCTTAACATACATTTATGTACATTTATTTTTAAAGTTTTTTGTCACTTATTTCCAAAGGTCTGTTAGAAGTAAATGGTCTAGTTCAAGAGAGAGATGTGACTAAGGCCTTTATAGTCCCTGTAACCAATTCTTGCTCCCAGCTGCAGTGTATGACAATGTGCTTTCCCTGCACTTTCACTAACGTTAAGTATTTTTTTTAACATTGGTCCGTAGTTAGTATTTTATATAGTACTTATGTTCATTTGTAATTTATAAATATGTTAGTGTTTATGTAATATGTATATGCATATATACATCATTTTTTACACAAAGTTGACATTCAAATGGTATCTCATTTTTCATTTGAATCTTTTAATATAAGATGACAGTTTTAAATTTTTTAAAAAAATTTTGTTAATTGCCTTATTATTATCAACATCTATTTATTTGAAGTTTACTGTCTTTTTTTTAGTTTATAATATTAAAATTATTTATACATGTAGTATTATCCTCTGTCATGTATTATAAATGTATTTTTCTTCAGTTTAAAGGAAAAAAAAATTTTTGGAGAGGTTTTTGCTATAGGGTGCATGCGCTCACCAGAAATACAGAGAGAGACAGAGAGACAGAAAGCGAGAAATCGCCCTCCAGGGGGATGACCTACTATGCAATCCCTTCTCCTCCATTCTCCTCTCAGGATCTTGGGCACGCACACACACACCCGGCGTGAAGTTAAGCCACCGGGCCAGGTCTGGGACTCGAACTGCAGTCGACTACATGGGAGTCCAGCAACATAGCAATTATGCCAACTGCTGGTCCCAAGAAAATAATTTAAAAAAAAGAAAAATTGACTACTTATATAATATTAAACTTAAAGAAGACTGTATGGATGAACCTTATGTAAAAATTAACCTTGTCTTTCCCTCTTAAGGTTTTCTTTCTGCCATTAAGTAATACCATCCTCAGCTGTTTTAAAGATAATTCCATCTTTGCCTGGGAATGTGATACACTGTTTTGCAAGTACCAGCTACCAGCTCCACCTGAAAGTTCGAGTATAACATACAAAGTGTTTGCTGTGACCAGGTAATATGCATTTTTAAAAAAGAATTAATTATTATTATTATTAATTTTGATCAGAGAGAGAGAGAGAAAGAGAGGGAGAGTGAGAAAGCAAGCTGCCAGGCCTGGGACTTGAACCACAGTTGGCCACATGGGAGTCCAGCTCCCCAATCACCCTGCCATCTATTGGCCCTGGTAATGTGCATTTTTAAGATACTAGGAATTTTTCTCTTCTTTTTTCAAGAACTATTTTATTCAACTTTATTTATTTTAATTTGACCAGAGAGGGACAAAGCAAGAGAGAGAGAAAGAGAGGGAGAGTGAGAAAGCAAGCTGCCAAGTCCAGGACTCAAACATGGGGTCAGCCATGTGGGAGTCCAGCACCCATAATGACCATGCCACCTGCCAGCTCCCAGGAATTTTTCTTTTTAAAGAAGAGAATTATTTTATTTTTTTTTTAAATTTGATGTATGGCACATGCACTCACCAGAGAGAGACAGTGAGAGAGAGAGAGAGAGAGAAAGCAAGCTGCCAGGTCTGGGACTAAAACCGCAGGCGACCATTTGGGAGTCTAACACCTTAACCACCATGCCACCTGCTGGCCCCAAAACTAGGAATGTTTAAGAAATTTAATTTCTGGTGAAAAATGACAAATTTTCATTTAGTATCTTTTTGTCATGTGATAAAATTTTCCTTCAAATTTAGATGAGGTTATTAGACCTTTTTTTTTTACTGTGTAAAATTTCAAACATGAAGGTAAGGAAGTACTACATGAACCCTAAGTGCCATTATCATCTACAGTAATCATCAACCAATGGCCACTCTTATTTTATCGATAACTGTACCTTCCTCTCTACTGCATTGTCTCAAAGCAAAGCCTAACCGTATCATTTTATCTATCATTATTTCACTGTGTATCTCTGAAAGATAACTATCCTTTTGGAAACATAAGTATAATGTTGTTATCAAACTTCTAAAAAGTTAACAATAATTTCTTGTTATATCTAGTCATTGTTCAATATTCCCTGCTTTGTCTAATAGCTGTTTTTTTATGATTGATTTGTTCAAATCAAGAATAAAACAAGGTTTACATGTTGGACTTGGTTGATACAACTTCTTTTTATTTTTCAGTAGTTCATTTGTTAAAGAACTGGTCATTTCTCCTGTAGAGTTTTCTGCGTTTTGGATTTTGCTCATTGTGCTCATGTGGTAATAATTAATATGATCCTCTATCGTCTATATTCCCTACATACTGCAATACTTACATTTCCTTAAAACTGGAGGATTGATCTTAAAGGCTAGACTTAGGTGGTTTGTGTGCTTTCATGAGAAGCAACATGTCACACTTCCTCTAGTGATATTAATAGCACAGAGGGTCATTATCTAGAGCCAGCCTTACCTTAGAGGTGAGCCAGATGGTGCTATTCTAATTCTGTCCTTCCTTCTTCACTCAGTAACTAGAAACCTCTAGAAAGACACTTCTTTTCATCAGCTTTTGATGACTTTGATGTACAGTTTATAAAACAGAGACCAGATAAATACTCGATTCCTCTCTTTTTTCTTAAACTAGTTTTCAAAGCAGCGAATCGAGGTATTGGCGTCCTTCAGAAGTGACGAGCCGATCTTTATCTTTAACCTTTGTTAGCTCATGAATTTAGCATGTTTTCATCCATTGCAGTTGTTATTCTTAGCAGTGGTCAGTTCTCTCACCTTTGACCAGTGCGATCCTCTTCAAGTTGGCTTTTGAATCCTTGATAAACCCCAGTTATCTTTAGTAACTCCTATCTTTCTGATGTGACAACATGTTCCAAGTTATCTTATACACTTCCTTTCCCAAGCCTGGAATCAGTCAT